TGGCTCTGCCACCTATTAATGCATAATGCAAAATTTGCAGCAGCTACTTGTTCAATCTAACTTAACTAATTGTTAGATTTATTTTGCAGCCTTTATACAGAAAACAGTGATTCTTAGTCACTATATTCTACTTTCAGTAAATAATGCCTTTCATTAGTGGAGGATTTGTTAATGTTTGCACCTTTTCCTGCTTAAATTCATATTAGAAAAATATACAGCTAGATAAAGTACAATTTATTTAGCTATAAAGCACAAAATAGATGGATGTCCATTTCTGATACATTAAGGTTTCTACCAAAAAACTGGAAGTTTAGAAACAGAACAAATAGAAAAAATAAACATTTTTATCAGAAACAATCTGACAGATTGAAATCTTTATCTTCAGATGATAAATATGTTTTTTTATTTACTTTTTAGTTTCCAGCTTTTATTTTCTTTTAAATAACTTAAATTTATAGTTTGTGATTTTTGAAAATTTAAATCAGAGTACAAATTGCCAAAATCAGCTATCCAGTATGTACCCATCAATCATGTGAATAATGAATTGCTGTTCGTCTGTCTGCCTGTCTGTCTGTCCTGTATCCCACAGATCGGCTGTACTTTGCTACTCTCCCTGTCAAACCAAAGAACTCTGCAAACACACACTTCTTCAGCACAGATGAAGAGTTCATTTATGAGAGGTACGTCTTTAACAGCTGGTTCCTCTGATGCAGTCTCATCATTGGTCCATCACCAGGCCAATCTTTGTCTCCAATTAACCACCAGCCATGCATGTTACAAAGAGAAAAAGAGTTGAACTCAGCTGATATTTAGAGAGTTCAGCTCTGACTCTTACAGTTTCCTGCTGTGTGCAAATTTTCCATCTGAAAAGCATCATAAACCCCAGATTAAAATGTTTGAAATTTCCCTCTGTTGCTGCACATTCATTTTACCTTAAAGTCAGAAATGACAGCTTCTCTTTATCTCCATCCTACATCAACTTGACCTTAGGGTTCTTTTACTTTAGTCTGTTAATGCATCCGATTTCAACTATGTAAGAATTTGTAGCTTTCAGGGATTAAAACAGCCGTCTATAGAGTAAATAACTTGATAAATCTTTAGAAAAATTTGGTTTTATTGCTGCATTGTTTAGGCATTGAAGCTAAGATCTGGTCCAAGCACCCAGACCTTGATACCAAGAACCAGCAGTGCATTAGCTGGCAGGAGCCCCAGCAGGAAGAATGGCTCGGGGGGTTAGAGGCCCCATGGTTGGCGGCAGACTAAGACCTAAAACCTGAACAAACTGAAACAAAAACCATAAAAAACCTGACAAGCATTCATTTACCCACCAATTCCCATCCACATGCTTTCACAGACATTCACACCCCCACCAAGATAAGAACAAAATGGAAACAATGCTACACACACACTTGCACCCCAAAAACACTTTATGGGTGTGATGGGGCAAACATTGGCTGGAACTACTGCAGACGCAGGGGGTCGCCATTTTGACAATTAATTCTGGAAGTAAACACCAAACGTCAATGGGAATTTAATGAAGTGATTTAAAGCACAACATTGGTGGATAAGAAATCTGTCAGTGTAGGATTAGTGTTAGCCCACAGAGGAAGGATAAGCTGGGGTTAAATCCGGTTTAGACTTCCTCAACACTTTTTTTTCTTATTTTTTGTTTGACAGAACTTTATTAAGTAAATAGATGATTAATTGAACAAATATAAGTTTTAAACATTCCTACAAACAGAAATCCTGGTTCCTAAATTTCTTCAATTAGGGTATAAATCAACACTTTAAATTGGCTTTATCTTAGTTAAAATCTTTTTACATTAACAATAAAAACAATTCTGCCAGTTAATCTACTTCCAGTGTGCTCTTCAGATTGGGATTGTAAAAAAAAGCAGCCCCCTGCCCCTGCAATAAGGGAGCCCCTTCATTCTGGCAGACTCTCCGGGGCCTTGATCAAGGCTGCCGTAAAGAAGCCAGGTCAGACCCAGGACCATCAAACTCAGGAAGGCTCCTAGGTCTCTGGGGTGAGGCTGTCAGATATGATCAGTCTCTAAATCTTATCAGTGTGATGACCTGTTGAGGCTTAAACTCCACATATCCAGATATCTGAGATGTTTTGATGTCTTTAATGCAGTAAATGCAGAAAATAACTTTGTTAGTTAGTTTAAATCTTATCAACAAAATCTTCCTGTGATGTAAATAAGCAGATTTTAAAGCCACTGAGCAGCTGGTTGAATGGGTTGGACTGGTGAACTGCCCTTTTTAAATTCACTGGCTCCACCAGTGTCAGATTCTAGGTTTACATCCATTAGCTTATAAATCACCGCCTGTCCGGGGTTGGGTAGCAGCTTCAGTAGGGAGGCCCAGATGTCCCTCTCCCCAGCCGCTTGGGCCAGCTCCTCCAGGTGAACCCCAAGGCGCTCCCAGGCCAGCCATGAAACAGTCCCTCCAACGTGTCCTGGCTCTCTCTTTGGGTCTCCTCCCAGTGGGACGTGTCCCGTGCAAGGAGGCATCCAGGAGACATCCTAACCAAATTACAGAGTCACCTCAGCTGACTCCTCTCGACGTGGAGTAGCAGCCTCTACTCTGAGTCCTCCCCGGATGACTGAGCTCCTCACCCTATCTCTAAGGGAGAGCCCAGACACACTACGGAGAAAACTTGGCCGCTTGTATCCAGAATCGCGTTCTTTTGATCATGACCCAATTTGTTTAGCACCTGCTTCACAGCAGACAACGCACAAATCCGCCTGTCGATCTCCCGCTCCATCTTCCCCTTAATTTATATTTCTGTTCATATATACCCCAGTTAAATAAATAGCTTTTCAATAAGCTTTATTTCTTTATATAGACAAACCACTACTTTTGAGACTGATGCGTATGATGTAATAAATAATCGGTTTATAGTCTGCAGTCATTTTAAGAAGAGGAATCCAGATGAGTTCACGTGTCTGTGAGATAACTCACTGGTTCACGGTCATGTAGATCTTTAGCCAACGCCTGTTATCCCACTGTAAGATGTAGGCCAAGACAAGATCAGAGCTCCGCACCCATGATGCAAGCGGATTAACAACAGACACATAATCATGCCTGCAGACAACATTAGGCTTTTCTCTACAACAGTTTGTCTCAATGTCATCATTGTCAAACATCACTGAGGAAGCGGCGTTAATTCAGTTCAGTTTATAAATATAGCGCCAATTCACAAAACGTCATTTCAAGGCACTTTAGAGAGACAATTCAACCAGGTCATACAGTCAAATGGATTCAAAGTTTTCTAAGGAAAACCAGTTGATTACATCGACTCAAAGGCAATCCCTCACACTAAGCATGCTTATAGCGACAGTGGAGAGGAAAAACTCCCTTTTAACAGGAAGAAACCTCCAGCAGAACCAGACTCAGTAACTTAAAACATCTAAATGCATCATATTCAGTACTTTTACCACAAGTTTCAGAGAGGGATTATAGATACGTAAGTCGATAAGTATAATTTACATTTCATGCAAATAACCAGTTTATTAAGAAACAAGAAAGAAAGTATTATGAGCATTTAAATGTAATTAAAATAGGAATTTAACATTTGATTAAGACTGCTTTTTATATTATGCCTTTACTTACTTTCTCTACTTTGATTGGAATTAACTACTTTTTTTCCTCAAGTAGCTACATACATGGCTCTAAAACTGACAAATTATTCAAAGGACGTCGTTAACTTACAATACATTATTAACTATGAAGAAATGACCTAATAAGTAAAAGTCAGCTAAAAACCAGACGACGGATGTAAGCCTCGCCTTGCCTCACTGGGGCTGATTTTAATTAATTTAAAGTTATAACCTCCTAAAATAAAATCTAAAATGCAGAGTTCAAAATTGGAGCATGAGGGTTCCCCTCCACATAGCTAAGCTCTTGGGTGGACGAGTTTTAGATCCACTGCTCTGCAGCAGAGATGGAAAGATGCAGACTTTTCTAAAGCCAATGCCCATATAGGTTTTTTTTTTTTTTTTACATCTGTCTAACTTATCCCAATGTTTTGCTCCCAATTTTTGGAGCTGAAACTGAATGCTGATTAAGCTTTTTTTTTTTATTGCTTACATGATAAAATGAGAATGATAACAAATGTTTCAGTCGGAATGAAAAATAAACATATATCGACAAATCAAAAAACACATTTGCAATTGATAAGGAAAGGAATGTTAATGCATGTGCTTTAGGTGGCTGGATGCACTAAATAATTGGCAAGTGCATGCACAAATAGAAGGATGCAAATTGAAGAAAAAAAAATAACATCAGCAAAAAATATTGACTGGCAGATTTATCAGTTTAACCCTATTCTAAAAGTTTAAAAAAGCATGGACCAAAGTCACTGCATTGGTTGAACTCTGGCACGATCTTCCGGTGACAGGATCTTTTGTTTGTAATCTTTTTAACTGGAAAGTTAGAAACCTTTTTATAGTCAACTATAATATATGATAATAACTTTGATTGGATTATCTAAATATCCGTTAATAAAACTTAAGGTTTTGTTCTGATTGAGCTGAGGGAAAATACCTCTACATCGACTAAAACAACATTTTTGTTGTGCCTTTGGAGTCTCTTCTATTTAACTGTGGTCTACATTCTCAGTAGGTCAAAATGGTGCCTTTCAGCTAGAAAATCCATCCTGTATTTGCTTATTAAAGCAGGCAGAAAATAAAGGCCTTAAGATTGTGCTTCAGTCACATATTTAGCTGCAACCAGCACATCATTGAGATATCTTTCCCACGCCTAGAGTTACAAGTTTACCTGAAAACAAGCAAGAACAGCAGGTTCCTACATGGACGGTCTGCAGCAAGATTTTCCCATCAGATCAGATCCAATTGACTAATGGAGATAAGTTCCTTCATTTACACACATATTGGGTCAGCAGACCAGTTCGGTTCAAACCAAGGAGAATGTTACAGCTTGATTGGTTGTGAAAAGGTTTAGCATAACCTCCACTACCAGCATAACTTTATGGCTGTGTCTCTACAGTGAGATGCTGCATTTGATTCAATGATCACAGTAAAAAGACAGTGGATCAGAACGGCATTGCTTTCTGGATTATATATTTCAGAACCACAAATGGTTCATAAGATGGCCAAGAGGGGTAAATGCACACCAAATACATAAACACACAACAAACATTACAATGAGACAAAAGCAAGAATTATATTAACACACAAATGTACAGAACACCTACAAAGGAAAACAATGCAAAGGAGAAATGCTGTAATCAGAGGAAATAGAGAGCAGCAAAGTGTAAACTCACTGCAAAGACATAACCTTCTTGAAACACAAACAATGCCCACACATTAAGCACATGCAAAGCGAAAATGTTGTGATGGCCATGTTTTCCAACTCCACTACTTCCTGAACTTCAGCCAACTCCTCTGTCTCCTGTCTTTCATACTGAATTGAATGAATAATCCAGGTGTGGCTTTTCATTGCCTTCATTGGATGGTGCAAGAAAGAACTAGAGAAATAACTTCTTTTTCTTCTGGGGTAAAATAACCGCCATCCTCACCACATACGTTCATAACACTAGTGGGCTTCTCATGTGCTCAGTGACCTGAGCAGTCAGTTTTATTGGTCATTTCTCCTCATCTACTGTTATACACTGAATTAAACTGTTCTTTTGTGGATGATACGTGTGACTAGACTAACCAGACATTAACTGAAGTTCTAAAAATAAAAAAAAACATTAAATATTTTATTCACAACCATTGTTTGGTTAAAGGTCAACCATGTTGGAGTTTAAGAGATTAGAAATCCAAACTGTTATCAGTGTATTATATTTAATATATATCTGCACTACATATTTTGTTTATATGACATGTTTTGCTTTGTGCTCCAGTTTCTATGCAGACTTCGGGCCCCTTAACCTCGCCATGCTCTACAAATACTGCTGCAAACTCAACAAAAAGCTCAAGGTAATATTGGGAATGTTGCCTATTTCCAATTCTGCTGGTTTGTGTGAATATTTATCAGCTACGTTTTTTTCTTCGTTTTTGATGGATTTTTCTTTGTTTTGGTCTTGAAAGTCCTTCACAATATCTAGAAAGAAACTGGTCCACTACACCAGCTGTGACCAGAAGAAGAGAGCCAATGCTGCCGTTCTCATCGGTGCCTACGCTGTAAATATTGTTTCATCTATCTCCCCCCTCCCATCACTATGCCTCTCCATCCCATTCCTTATTGTCAGTAACCCAGTTTTACCTTTGGTTTCTAGGTTATCTATTTAAAAAGGACACCAGATGAAGCCTACAGGACTCTAATCTCAGGAAACAATACAGCCTACCTGATGTTCAGGTACTTAAAAAGTGTGGGCAGCTTCCTCCTCCTAATTGAACGGAAACAAAATATAGAGAATTAGCTGATTCATAGTGATGGCTCAGCTTAACAAAGGGTGAAATGATCAAGGTCCAGTTCATTAGACCAGATGAATATTCTGATATATTTAGGAAATGTAAAATTGTTTACTTTTTATAGTCCTGTCTGATGAATATTCACTTGGCTGGCAACTACGTTCATTTAAAATTCAATTCTAAATACTTAATTGATCCCAATGGGAAATTAAATGTTATAATTGTCCATAGTTCTTTTTTTTTTTAATCAACCAGTTATTGGGTTGTTGATAGCAGTGGGCAGGATAGATCTTCTGTTCCGATCTGGAGAAGACTTTGATTGAAAACACTCTGTTGGTGTATGACAGTCTGATGCTGCAAATATTGTTCTTAATTTTTATGAAGAATGATTCTTTGTTAAATGATCCCTAGAGGTTCTAGAGGAGTTCTTAGTAGAGAGCTGATCTCCTTTATCAGCTTGTTGAGATTTTAGATTTTATTCGCTCTGATGCTGAGGTCAATAGCATTTGACTTGTTGATGATTATTTCCTTCCTTTCTTTGACTGACCCAATGCCTGCAGGGCTATCCCAGTATTTATGCAGATGACAGGAGGACACTGTTTGGTCCTGGGAGTCAGAGGTGTACAAAGGATGGAGAGAGTATCGATCCCTATGAGGATTCCATGCTGCTGGCTATCTGGTTGGACAACTGTCCCTTCAGTCTATCAAACTGTTCTGTTTGGCAGGTATTCTCTGATCTAGGTGGTTGTTGGTTGACGTGCCGTTTGTGCTGGAACAGTTTCACATCACCTGAATTGTCTTCTGGGTCAGACTAATGTTTAAAGGTGCTGTAGAACACAACAGAGCTGCCCTGCACAGGCCTTCAGGACCTGGGGGCTGACACCATCAGGACCTGGTGCCAGCTCACTTGACTTCCAGAAACAGACAGGTGGAAGGTAAATGTAGAAGCACTACCATATGGCTTTTGTGGACAAATGCATTGAAGCATGAGGGTCCATGGCAGAGGTGGAAAATGAAACATTTGTGATGTGGAAGGAAGGGAAGGCTCATGTCAAGGGAGGTCAGGATGTTTGTTTGAGTGTGGACAGGAAAGTTGGTCCTGAACTGAACCTGTTGAAGAATTTATTCAGTTCATTGTCAAGACTTCCATCAATCTGATCAACCTTCTGCTTGAAGCCTGTGATCTTCTTCATCCCTGACCACACATCTCTGATATTGTTATACTTGTTTCAATCAATTCAATTCAGTTGATTTCTTTAGTGCCATTTCCAACATGTGTCATCTCAAGGCACTTTACAGTTCACCAGATCATCCAGTCAAATTGATTAAAAGTTTGCTATCTAAGGAAAACCAGATGATTGCATCGACTCATTGACTCGAAGGCAATCGCTCACACTATGCATGCTTGTAGTGACAGTGGAGAGGAAAAACTCCCTTTTAACATGAAGAAACCTCCAGCAGAACCAGGCTCAGTGTGAGCGGCCTTGCTTTTTCTTATCTTGACCTTAGGTTATACTTTGTTCTACTCATTATTCTCCGTTTCCCTTCCTGGAGATTTTTTTTTTGTTTCTTTAGCATTTCAGATAGTGTTAACTAAACTGTTGTTTATATAGTCAGTCATTACACTACTGTCCGCTACATGTGGCTGATGCTGTGCATTCCAGTCTGTAGCATCAAAACCTTGCAGGCTTCTTCCAACTTCCTGTGACCATCTTTTTACATTATTCTTTAATGCGAGACTGTGATCCGATTTCTTAAGAGTTCGTATTGTTTTAGAGATATATTAGTCCATTAGACTGAAGTGGTTCCTGTTAGAGCTCAGAACAGTGAAAAATCAAACAAGCTATTATACAACAAAAAGTAAGTTTTTCCTAAAGGTTTGAGTTCACCTTGAGCTTTGACTGGCATCACAACCAAGCAGAGGAACAGACTGGATATATAGAACAGCCTGGACTTACTTTTTTACCTTTTAGAGAGGTAAACATGGTATGAACAAATGCTCAAAGTGGTACAGTGGAAACATTGGTCTAGTGGATGAAAAAGCAGTGGAATGAAAATTTACCACAATTCTACTGAAAAGTAGTGACCATAAATGGTCACTAGACAAGCAGATATATGCCAGATTGCTTTGCAAGAGCTCTCCTTGCAAAGCATCTTGGGATTCGCTGCAGCGGGGGCGACTAATAACAAAGATGTTAGAGTTACATGACCGACCGAATGGTCAGTTAACTGAGTTCACTGTAAAGTCTCTGCTCTATATAATGATTGAGGGATTTAGGGGTGAGGGCGGATGATCAGACATAGCCAAAGACTTAACGAGAGCCATATTTCTGCAGTGGAAGAGGGGCAGGTGCCATAGCACCACCTAATGTACATCTGTGCTAATTCCTGCAGGATTTGCAGTTTTTAACACTTTTGTAAGAAAATAGCAAAGCAGAATGTAAACCAGCTAAAAAAAAAATAATTAAACAGCTTCTTCGCAGCAATTATGCTGCTGCTCTCCCCTGTTGTCAAACACTCACACTAGTTACGGTTTACCTTCAAACCATTATACATTATTTATGTATAATATTATAAATTTCAATCAACATATTTTTTAATAGGGTATTTTACATTCCTGTTTTTCATTTTTTTCCATGTTTTTTTTGCTTTCTAACCTGTGCATCTCTGCAAAATTTCAATTTGGTTTAATTATAACATCTGTGTTTCACACAGGGATGCAGGAATGGGCGAGTGCACTTTCAACCTCTCTGTCCTCGACTGCTTACAGGGATTACACAAGGTATATTGTGCTCTGCCAGTCCCATAACCCTTTTGAAGTTTAATTTCTTTTCAAGTTTTATTTTCTGTTTTAAAGTTACTGGTCATTGTATGTTTGTGACATCCTGCAGCCAGTTCAAATTCCTGTGCACATCCCGAGCAAGTGGGACATTCCAGTGCACAAGGCTGTTGTTTTACCATAAGATGACCTTTGAAGTTCTGCTTTTACCTTATTTGTATCAGGCTGGGTGGATGTTTGACAGGACCCAAATGCGGACACTGAATATGAAGATGGTTACTTGCAGATTTAACAACAAAAAGGGTAACAGAAGCAAAAATTCAAAAGCATAAATCTACAAAATCCACAAAAACTGAGAACCAGGAATACTCACAACAAGGGGGCAAAGAAATGACGACAAACCAGCCACAGTGACTGAGGAGGAGGTGCATATACTGTACATATACGCCTGCTCCCAATACAGCAAATTGGGAGCAGGTGAGAAAAGAGCACTCTAGAAGGGAGCAAGGGAAAAGGAGACTGACCCAAGAGGGTAAAAGAGGGTAAACAAGAAATAATAAGAACTCAAATACAATCATAATTAACTGGAATAACACAAAATGGAAATACACCCAATATAAAATCAAAGATAAAACTTAAACAGAACCAAAACTATGACAATTTGAGCAGTGCCGTAACAAGACAAAAATAGGCCCACACATTATCTGGGTGGACCTCTTATGAAGTACAACACGTGATAAAGGTTCAGGATTCGGCTACAGTTCCATAAATCTTTTTCTTTTCTGGAATTCGCCTAAGTACCTCTTCTGGGTATCCATCGTCGCTAACACATGGTACGTAACGGTTATGGTTTTTAATCGACAATCTGGGTTACCCATAATTCCAGTAGTGTAGTAATGTAAAAAAAAAATACTCAAATACAACGTTCTTTTCAGATCTTTATTGCGGTTCGACACATTATATGAGTGTATTTTTTACCTACCGTCCAACCAATGAACTATACACAGTTATTAACATAGTAATTAAAAGTACTACTGTCTGCTTAGCTAATTGCGTAGGGAGCCTATAAGGTGTCAGTGATGGAGCCCCTAAGAGGTTGTGGGCCTGTAAGCAACTACTACTGTCTCTGGGTACTGATATTTACGCAATTGAATTTCAGAGGTTTTTGGCCTAAGGGGGGGATTCTGAGAGCAATTATATAGGCAGCTTTGTGATAAATAGATCATACTTAGTGACCATGTTGCTGTTTTTTCAGTAGTGTTTGCCAGCAAGGCAGGAAGGGCTTCCTCTGTAATTTAAGTTTAAATCAAGAATTTTTTAAATTATGACTGGAATAAATCCTGTTCATGCTCAAAGATGTATTCTTTCATTTCTGGACACACTAAAAAAATAAGCCATTTCTCAGCTGGAACCCATGGCAATAGGATCTGGAATGTCTGAGCTGACTTTAACCTACTACTCCTATTGGTGCGAATTCCTTTCCTGTCGATGCTGGCACCACAACCAGAAGGAAACATTTCTATGTATACCCACCAAAAAAAAAAAATAAAAATATTAATACCCTTTTTTCAGTAAAAGGAATACTTTTAGTCTTCACCACTCTCTGCATTCTGTGGATGTGACATTTTAGAAAAAAATATTGGTTTTGATAAAAAAGTTGGAGCTATGACCTTTAACCTTCTCCCTTCCTTGAGTGAAAGTTGACTTCTCTAACTTGGTGAACGTTTTCATGATGTCTTTCCTCTTGCAGGCATTACAGCACGGCTTCCTGGATTTTGAAACATTTAGTACGGAAGAATATGAACATTATGAGGTAATGGTGATTAGCTTTAGCAACCCTTTTGTTAGCTTTGGCCATTTTGAATAAACCTCGTTTTAAGCAGAACCATGAGGCAAGATAAAGAGATCTAAACCAAAGTGGTAAAAAGGTCTCTCTTTGTGTATTAGAACAATAAATAATGGGGTCCTATGATACAGTTACAGAGGCACCGCACAGAGCTTTGTTAATGATGTGCGATGATCTGCAGGATAGGCCAGTAAAGCCGGGCAAACACTGTGGAATATTTTCAATCTTTGCACGATTGTTGCTACAGCTCGAACTGTACAATGAAAACCTCAGGGTTTAAAAGTTCACAGCTTACGATGCATGTTCTCACACTGCACATCCAAAAACCACACGTCGGACTCAGCGCTGAGGGATGGTGCTGGTCTGACTCGTCAATCTGGAAGAAGAAGAAGAACTCTGCTTCAACTGCAGGGTTTATCCGCGAACACCTCACAACGTCCGAATGAATCTCAAACATGTTTGATTTTCTCCCGACCTTACGATTCCTGATCAGGAGGTGGTCATGAGAGGCTGATTGCCCCTTGATACCCCCTTTACACAACGTACCATGAGGCTGATACTTGGCCTGATCGGACAGAATTCTTGCACGACTGGAAAATTCCCAAAAAAGGGCAAATATTTGTACAGTGTTTCCCCGGATTAAGCCTGTCCTTAAGGCAAGGCAAGGCAAGGCAAATTTATTTGTATAGCACAATTCAGTACAAAGACAATGCAAAGTGCTTAAAGCCTGTATTTGACAGAAGTGACTTCTTGATTGCTCCTCTTGTAACAAGTCCACTGTCCTACATCTCAAAAAGTTCCAAATTTGAGCTGATAATGATCTTTGCAGTTAAACACCATCCATCTGATGATTGAACAATTATACAAAAAAAAATTGCTGGCACAAAAACTAAAATAAAAAAATTCAAAAATCCTCTTCTGTGTCTTAAGTTACCACATTAAGCAACCTGTAATTCAGACTTATTGCTTCTTTGTCTGATTTCAGCGAGTTGAAAATGGAGACATGAATTGGATCATTCCTGGAAAGATTCTGGCATTCAGCAGCCCTCATGCACGAAACAAAGTAGAGAATGGTGAGTCAGATGTGAAAATCCTGAATTTAAGTAGGAAACTGCACCGTTTGTGACATTTTACAGGTTATTTTAAGGAGGGGAAACAAATTAAAATGCTTTGAAAAGTAAAGCAGTTTTTCCACTTACCTCACTCATGTTTAGATGATTTTTAATTAAATTTCTTTAAATTAGGTTTGATTAGGATCATCTTTCCTGGTCTTTGGAGATTTTTTTTCTCTACCAACATTGAACATCTAAGCTGATTTGCAGGGTTACTTCCATTCCCTCTTTCATCAACATCTGACGAGAGATCTTTCTTCAACATGTTTGCTTCCCAGATTTCAACAGAGATAAAATTAGATACAATTATGAGGTGTTGTTTTATTTGAAGAACATTTTAAAACAATGTGATGTGTTAGAATAAAGGTTGGGTTGTGAGGCTTTGGTTTTCAAAGGGTTTTTGACAGAAATATGTGTCAGATATAGATTTAAATAATTTGAGATAATTTGGATAAACAACTCAGACCATCTTGGGTTGTTTTTCTGAACATTCAGGTTATCCTCTCCATGCACCTGAGGCGTACTTTGAACACTTTCGCCAAAATAACGTGATTGCTGTGGTTCGCCTGAACAAGAAGCTGTATGAGGGCAGACGCTTTGAGGATGCAGGGTTTCAACACCATGATTTCTTCTTCCCGGATGGTTCCACACCCTCAGACCTGATCATTAGACGCTTCCTGCATGTCTGTGAAAGCAGCGAAGGAGCCGTGGCCGTGCACTGTAAAGGTACAGCTGGCTGTGCTTTGTTAGGTTTTTCTTGCTCTCTGAAATTGTGTGTAACTTAATAAATATTTTTCAATCTCAGCTGGCCTGGGCCGTACGGGCACCCTGATCGCCTGCTATCTGATGAAGCACTTTCGGTTCACGGCGGCCGAGGCTATTGCATGGATCAGAGTCTGTCGACCTGGATCAATTATTGGTCCACAGCAGAACTTCTTAGTAGAGTAAGTTTAAAACTTTAAGACTAAGGAGGAAAAGCTAGTCTTTAATTTCATTTTGGTAACAACTGGTGCAGGAATAAATGTATTAAACTTTAAGGTCATCATTCTTATTAAGTCATATTTCAAGTCTGAATTTCTTGTATATAATATTATGTCTCAGATAAAGTAAATCCAATTCAATTCAGTTTATTTATATAGCGCCAATTAACAACACGTCATCTCAAGGCACTTTACAATTCAACCAGGTCATACAGTCAAATTGATTCAAAGTTTTCTATCTAAGTGTTATGCCAGCTAACCAGAAGATTATGAATATAATAAATAACTAGAACTGGAAGTTAGTTAATGAATAGGCAATTCAAATCAAGGGTAAAGCTAGTTATTCATTATAAGTTGAAAGATTATAGCTGTAATTTGCTAACTGACCAGGGTTTTAGCCCCTTTCCTCCAGCTGTCTTTCACCAAATTAGTAATTTAGGCTATGGCTCTTAGCAACGTTATTAATCACCAAGAAAATAAATGCATCTCCGTTCATTCGGATGCTACTGAAAGAAAAGTGAATCCAACCCGAATGATAAATCATTCACTGTGTAAAATGAACACAAAAGACCACGAGTTAAAAACACAATGGCTGTCATGATGGGTGGAATGTGTTTGGCCCACATGCAGAAGCACTCACAGAGACTCAGAAAGGTTTAACAGTTTATTAGTAAAAAACAGTTACAAAGACACAGAAAACTGTTTTCCAGCTTGGGGAGGTTCCAGCGATCAGGTGTATAGTTAAAAAGAAAGCTGAAAGTTCAGTTTACAAAGATGTAAATTAACTAGTGCTAACAGCGTGCTAACATAGTTCACTTTTTCACAAAATCTACTAAGTTCATTCGGGCTAGTGAAGCAGCTAGTTTACATGCAAAGTCAATGGTTAACACCCATCAAGGCATCAGATGTCTGAGCACATGATGCGCTGGGAAAGCAGCAGCTGCTGGAGTTGGAAAAATGGAACTTCAGCTGCTGGACGTGCCACATCAACTAATCAGAGAAGCTGATCTGGGAGCTGACAGGGAGACAAAAACAGCACTGCTGATGCAGATCACTATGATCACTCCTTTGAGACAGTTTATTAATGCCTAAATTAACTTAAAATGTCAAAACCTGCCAGCAAAATATGTTCGCTTTTATTATTATGGTGCCTGTAGTTTGGATTACGTACAAGAAACCTTCCAGCTGACATGAACAGTAGCAGAAAACCTCAAAGAGGCGACCGTGCCAGAAGCTGCCATTGAGCAGGATTTCTAGGGACAGGGAAATGATGAAAGGCAGGACCATATTCTTGATGAACTGACTGCACAGATGAAGTTTCCAGGTGGACATTCTAATTTAAAAACATATTAAATAAACCAATTTTTACCCACTTATAACAGCAAATATAGCAAAGCTGCTCTCTGCCATTGAGCACAGCAGCAGCAGCAGAAGCATCAGAAGCATCTGGACACACTTTACTGGATGTACTTCAGGAGCATCAAAGCTTCTCTTGACGCGTGTCTGACAAGCATTAAATATCTCACAGCAGAAGCTTTTTTGCTGCTTCCAACGCTTGCAGTCTGAACATAGCATAATTGATTTTAGATAAATATGGACACTTATTTACTAAGAAAAATCCTCTTCAATACCTTTAAATTCGTTAGAATATAAAAAAGTCATTTCTACTGACTTATTTTAAAAAGAATAAAGCTTTTTAGCAAAGTAAAGATTGGATCACATTGGATCGCCTTTTGCAGATAGAGAAAAATGGGTGTCGCCTTCTCAGCCTGGTACATTGTTAGAACAATTTTAGATGGCCTTTTTTAGAAGGTCAGACCTTTATATTGACCGGTATGAGGATGGAAGAAGCTTTAAGATGTATTTCAAACCAGTGAATCTAGCAGTAACAGTCATTTCTATTGTGTAATATGAGTAAGTTGGTGTTCACAGGAAGCAGCACAGCTTGTGGGTACAGGGAGACGTGCATCGCTCCAAGCTGAAACTTGCCCAACAAAGGTTCAGTCGACAGCTGCAGCTGCAAAAGCAGCATGGGCAACAGCTCCATCTGCCCGGCTCTGACCCAGTGACACGCAGCAAACAAGAGGCAGTGTTTTCAAGCATGGTTTCAAGCATGGACGATCTGTCAATCAAAACCAGTCTGTGCAAATCCTATAGTTTGGACGAAGTGAGGCTTCTGCAACATCTGTAATAAAATCTCCTTAAAGATGGTGATCGACTGTCCTAAGAGTCCTGTCCTGTGTTTTCATGTATGCAGAGTAATTGTAAGGAAAGCAGTCTAACCCAAGGAGACAATCTGAGAGCCCTGAAGGGGAAACGGACACCCAGACTAGTTTCTTCCAACTCCAGGTACTGTCTACAAATATTGTAATTTGGTTTATGCATTTATTTCATTGCATTGAATGACAAGGAAAATTGGCCCGCTTATTAAATTCAAAGATGAAAAACTGAAATTTGAATTTAGACTTTGGCTCAGTTTTTCTGAAGTCATTTTGATTCCTATCCAGTGACCTTGTCAGTTCTGTTGACTCATACCAGAGGAATTTATAGTTAGGAGCAGCATCCTGAGCACATCCTGAGCACGTAAACTGTACAGATTAAATATTAAAATCAAATTCTGCGTTGCTGTCCGTTTTTCCATTTCGTATTCTTGATCTGAGCTTAGAATTGATATATGAAAAACAAATCCTTTTTTCGTTTTTGGTTTAACCATAAAAAACAAAATAACCAGTCAATTTTTTATTTTTTGTTTTTTGATTGGCAATTGAAAATAGAAAGAACGAATGATACACAGATTTACACGGATTCCTCTCCTGGATTGCTGGAGTTTTTTGTTTATGATGGGTTTTGGGTTGGCCATTTGAATCATGATGAGTGTGCTTGCTTAACTTCTTCCGATTGAGTCCAGTGCTGAGTTCGAATTCAATGGCTGCGTCCTCCAAAGGCCAAGTTTGCCAGCCGATTACGTCATAGTGCAGTGCTGAGGCCGGTTTGGATTGGAGGACTTGTTGTTATGCAGCCAACAAATGCATCCTTGTTTTTGCCCATTTTGAGGACGGGTCCGGGGTATCCCATGAATCACTGCGAGCCCAAGCAAGCTGGCTGCTCTGTGCTCAGGAAAAAGGAAAATGGCGCCAAACAGTGGTGAATATTGTAAGTGGAGTTTAACATAATACAAGTATGTGAATAGTTCAGTTTGAAATTAATGAAAATACTTATTTTAAATAGTTATTGAGTCAGAAATGTGGCGGGTAATGTTTGTTTTATTAAAAGGTTTTATCTGTCCCTGCGTAAATGGGTTTGACTGACATTTAAGCTCTGATTCCAAAACCTCTTCAGTATGGGGACTATAAATCTGAGATCTGAGATGACAGCACTGCTGCTGAAGCTCCTTGTATTTAGCATACAGAACAGTAGTGAGGAGTTCGGCCTCCATTCTTTGCCTGCTTTTTGAGTCCAACTGTCACAGTTGCAAGGCGACAGAGCGTACGCTGAGTGAGCGGCGGTGGAGCCTGGAGAAGGCTGAACCTTTCTGAAACCATAGCCATACTCTTCCGGCTTCCTTATTGTCAAAGACCAGGAAGGCCAGGTCCTCAAGGATGCAGCCGCTGAAATCAAACACACCTCTGGAAATCACTGGCTTTTCTCCTTCAACAAAAACGGCTTCCTTCACCCCTCTTTCAAAAGGTTTATTGTCTCTGTCCAAAAGCAGTGTTATTAACAGAGTCCAAAGCAGTGAGGACTTCTATATTGGAGAAACCAAACAACACGAGAGCCAGAAGCTGACCAAGATTCAGCTTTTCACCTTCACCTCAAGAACAAAGACATAAGTTCAGATTTTGGAAGAGAGATACTTTGTTAAATTGGAAAGCGCTCCCTAAACAGAGGGGGAGGGTTAGGGTTTTAGCTTAAAGGCATCAACATTTCAGTCCTGGACCTCATTTCACAAGACAAGCACACTGGTCATGATTCATATGACCAAACACAAACCCAGTATGAAACTAAAGAGTCCAACAACCTAGGAGAAAGACAGATGGCTATGGAATTTGGACCTGGAAGGTGCTCAGAAGGATGGGCTTAAAAAGCATCAGCAGTCCAGTTGCTCCATATTGTTCTAAAGCAGGGGAGTCAAACTGGTTCCAGAAAGGGCCGTTTGGCTGCAGGTTTTCTTTTCCAACCAAGCAGTAGTGCACCAGACTCCATTCATCTCATCAAGTCTTCATGCTAAGACTGGACTCACTTGATGAGATGACTGAAGTCTGGTGTGCTACTTTTTGGTCGCAAAAGAAAACCTGCAGCCACACAGCCCTTTCTGGTACCAGTGGCCCCATATTGTTGTAGAATGAGTCGTCTGAATAAACAAACACTTCACTATCAAAACTCCTTCAGAAAAACAGAGCATGGTCTGGTTGCCTGCAGTTTAAGCCTGTTTTGTGGTTTACCGTGACCCTGGTGACAGAGAATTTGCACAGCAAATCTAAATGTACAATGGTGTGTATCCCGAATGGAAGATGTTATAGAAGAACTCACAATGCAATAAGTAAATTGCAACTATTAAGGGGGATGCAAATACATAAATAAGCATATATCAAAGACAACTGGAAGGAAGAATGTATAAATAGTGATCAGGGTTGGAAGAGATTGCGTTCCTCAGGGCAACAGCAGCTCTTTGATAAAAAGTCTGTTAGTTTTACTTCCTCTAAGCTAACCTGTTCTTTTCAGAGCTTTGCTGACTTACATTTTCTTTACTCTGACAGTTCAAGATAGCATAGACTCAATGGGGATAAACTTCCATCATTGTCAACATTGTATTTGCCGCCCCCCCAATAGAAAGTAATAAAATGCTTTTTTCTTCTTTTCTTAAAAATATACTGTTTTTATTATGCTTTATGTTTTTATCTGTGAATTTATTGATTGTAATATCAATGGCTCAACTTGGAATAATACTCACCAAAACATAATTAAACTCATTTGGTATTTTCTTCATATCATGTATATTTAAATAATTGAAAATCTTGATGTTACTCTATCCTGTTTTGCTAAATTATCTATTAATGCCTCTGCATTATCCCTATTTTAATAAGTAGTCCTCTTTATGTCTTCTAGATATAGATTAAAATGGCTTCTTTTCAGAGACTTCCTATTTTAAGTTGATGTATAAAAAATGTCCTTCATGCATTCTAGAGTCCCTTTGCCATGTTTTGTTAACTGCATCCTTCTCAGTTTCCTCACTTTAGGATTTTCTTCATACAGAATCACCCATGAGTGACTCATCTCTTTAAAGCCCCTAAAACTTTCGGTGATCTATCTCTGACACTCTTTTCCCTAAAGTCCTGTGTATTTTTATGATTATGGTGTTTATAGACTGGAAACACAGGTAAATCATCTCTAAAATGCATCATTAAGATCCCCCTTTCCTCCAATCCTACATAAATATTAGTGAAAGTTTTCATTGTTACACTTGGTGCAGTGATTCCTGTTGGTTTAGCAATTAGGGGAAACAATCCCAAACTAGTCACTTATTGACCTATATTTAGAAATTCAGACACATATGCATACATTTTTATTGACAATCATTCTACCCGATAATTAAAGTCCGGTTCAAATCCCAGCTGAGATCAGAAGGGAATGAAGAATAAAACTTCATGTTGACCCATGAATAAGGCAGTAACTACAACACAAAGTGTTTGTCAGATTTGCGATACATTATTGCATATATCAAGCTTCAAAATCTTTATCATATTATTTGGTATTATGAGGCTAAAATAACTTTTGTCCAACCAAGACATTTTTTTGTGATTGGAATTGAGACAGCCATTTTTTATAAAAGATAATGTAGATATCATATTGGAGAAGATTCTCAGTCATCCAGGTCAGGATCAAGCCTGAAAGGTTCAGATTAGGCAACGGGACGAGAAGTTTTCTGTTTTTTGCCTCTCATCTGAGAGTCTTATTCTCTTTTTTTAAAACCAACCAGAAGACGTCTGCTGAGAGGGAAGGAAACAGAAGGGACATCGTCATCCTGTATGTTGCTGGACTCTGAAAAACACCCCAAAGACACAACACAAAGAAACAAGGCCGACAACATGGTTTACACCATTCAGTGTAGTGAAGAGTGCAGAGACTTGTACAATGGAGAGACCAAGCAACCGTTGCACAGGCGTATGGCTCAATACAGGGGGACCAACTATGAACATGAATCAGCTATTCACTTATACCTGAAGGCTAAAGGACATTAATTTAAGGATGTTTTGCAAAGGAAGAACGGGTCTTTGAGAAAGGGGTTAAAGAAGCCATCATTATTAATTTATTTTTTTTAAGTCACAAGATAATACCGTACTATTAATATAATGTGACTTTTCTAGAGAATCATTATATATAGTTATTTTATACAGGGTTTCCACAGTCTTTCATAATTTCAGAATTCCCTGACTTTTAACTGACTCAGGATTCATTTTCCCTGACAAAAATAAATGCAGCCGTTTGTCATTTTTGTAACTACATCAAAATTACCGCTAGGTGGACATCTGGTGGAAAATCACCCGGCTTTTTCAAATCACGCACCTTTTTCAAATCACGCGCCAATGTGTACAAAACAACAAAAATGGCACCGGCAATGCTTCTGGGTCGTTTTCATCGAATGTCGATGATTTTAAAGTAAATTTGAGTGATAAATAATTTTTTTTTTTTTTCTTGCGATCATTGCACTTGCCCGGCGGGCAAATGCAATGAAATTTGTGCTCTCCCAACAATAAAAACTACTTGCCCCGGGAGATCGGGCGATGGTTAACATCGAGCCCTGCACTACTTCCCTTGTGATCGAAGCAGCAGTTTTGCACGTCTGATTTTGTTGTGTGTTGGTAGATAAACCATGGGCAGAAGTAGTTTAACCTACATGTGAGTATGGTTATTTGGCTTGCCGGTGTTTTGAAATAAATGTAACCCTATACACCTATACTGTATTATATTAATCTCAGTGCTGCCTAGCACCAGTTAGAACTGAGGAAGCCTTTTGGATAAAAGGAGAAACTTGTTCTACAAAACTTCACGTCCAGTTGCCTAAACTGAACTTTTCCAGCTTGATGATGTGAGATGTGTTAACTTTAACTGCTCACCAACTCTTCTCTACATCAACTCAGTCTTTAAGGGTGGAAGGCCTCTTTGCCAGAGCTTTAATCTTTAGCTCTGTGTTTGCACGCATGCTATCATGAATGAATGCAAACAAAAACATATAATTTTTTTGTTTTTCTTCCAGTGAGTCAAACGTGTCCCACTGTTCAATCCCTCCACCACCAAAGTCACAGAAAATCAGACTTTCTCTTCCTTCGTCTTCTAAAAAACTTGTGCGAAGTTCCTCATCTGTCACACAGATAAAGAGGTGGGTGATGTCAGCCATGTTGAATGGAACCTGCACTGTTTTTCTGTGTTTCTGTCTCTTATACTGTCTATTATATGCCTCTCCCCTCAGCCCCTTCAGCCTCAGTCTATTCAGCTCCAGGCCTGCTCTGATTCACTGAGCTCAACTTGGGAAACTATGTCACAAGAAGGACAGTGAATGAATTGCAAAACTGGATCAAAGAGGATCAGAAAAGGCCTTACATCAGCATATCGTTTATATGCATTTAAAGGACCTGGAATGTGCATCTTTGGTTTCCCAGAACATCAGATTGACGTTTCTTTATTCTGATATCACCCATGAATAGCTGATGGTGTAGCAACAAACTCTGAAACCTCTATATCAGGGGTAAACTATAAAAAAATCAGCAGGGTCCGAATAAAGAAAATCAACAACCAGTAAAGGTCCGGGGACATTTTAAATTATAATCTTTTACTTTAAACAGAATTTAACACTGAAATAAAAAGCTGTTTTTTTATGTATCTATGGTATACATTGAATTTTTAAATATACAAAAAAAATTAGAACATTTTTCCATTGTAAAATCTAAACTGTTTTTTTGAAGTAGAAAACAACAATCGTTCAGTTTGGTATAGATAATTTCCTGATTAACGTCTTTTTTAAAACACTTGAATTAACCATTTTTGTTTTTTCTTTCTTATTTCTGGCTTAATGAGAGCAGTGGGCTTTAGGCTGACCTGCAAGGCATTCTAAAGTACATTTCAAGGTGCTCATTTTGAGCCTGGATCCATATTTATTTTTGGTTCTGTTCATGGTGAAGAATCCTGCTTCA